AATTGTGTTGGAAAAGAGATAATGAGATCTAGAGTTTTCAGAGATAAGGATTTGATATTTAGGGAATTGAAAAGATAGATAAAATTGTAATTAAGGAGCATATTCTCAGTGTAATTATGAATTGTGATTATAACCCACTAAAAAAATAATATTTGAGATGCTTAGATTATATTTTTAGGTGTGATTACCCTAATGAATTTCCAAGTATCATCTAAACTGTAATCTAAAGCATTAGTGTATTTGAGGATTAGAAATTACTCACAGGGTTACAGGTACTCCATGTTTTATTTAAAAGTATAGATTTTAATGGCAAAGAATATAAGATAAAAAGATAATTGTCAAATGAAATTGCTTTGTAAACTTTTGACATTCTGGGAAATGTAATGAACAATATTATGAATATTATTAATACAGAGTAAACTAATGCTCATAAGAAGGAGGTTTCAGAGTATTTTCTAAATCATTAAAAATTAGATCAATGGATGACCATTTTTAAGACATTGATAGATTAGCCATTATCAACTGAAATCACTCAGTTTACAGAAGATACTGAAAAGATTGAAGAAAATGAGCAAAAAATAGAGTGGAAAATTAAAAGCATTTGCTCATTTATCACCTTTAAACTATTCTATACCTATCAGAAATCTTGGCTATTAGCTAACAGAATGGTGGAATTAAGCGATTTGCTCTATCAAAAGTATGCTATAGGATTTCTTGAATCACATCTGAAAATACTTTACAGCAAGCCAACATAATTTATTTCAAGGAAAACGTTTATGTTTAGTGCATAATTTGTTGCACTCTGTCTAAAGCATACACCCACTTTGGATCTCTTAATACCACAAATTGAGAAATTACTTGTTGAAGTTTTAGTGAAATCATGTCTTTTATCCTAAAAAGAATACATCATGTTAAATGATGATCCTGTAGAATTTATAAGATATACTGAACAGTCTCATGAGGAAGAAACTTTAAGTCCCAAATAAATATGCATGGAGCTACTAGATGCGATCTTCAATATAAAAAGAGAATATTATGGCTCAAATCAAGTATAAGGCCAAATATTCTTATAGAAATTTGTTGAGTTTTGTCTTTAGAATTTGGTTTAAATATAGTAGAGTTAGTTGATTGAATAAGATTGGAGAATAAAAGAATCTATACTATATCTATTGCAAACTTAATCGATAAAAATAAAAAGTTAGAAAGTAAAATATAATAGCATCATTTAGGAAATAATTTAAAATCATGTGGTAGATGAGTATTTAGGAGGTAACTTAGTTATGAAAGTTAGAGCTTGTTAGTTCTTGGGTTCTTTTTCTTATATTGAAAATTTATAGCATCAAACTTAAAGTAAAATATTCTAAGGCTGTCTTTAGGCTCTTCATCATAGAAATCTTGCTTTGAAGTATAATGCTTGTGTTGCATTGCCTTGCTTTTTGAAGTCATAAATAATCCATCAATCTATTTAGTTAAATTTGAAAAGCATTGTTGAGGTATTTCTTGGGTTGATTCAAAATATAGAGTTCGATGAAGTAATTAAATCATTATAAGTACTGATTG